CCAAGATGCATTATGTAATGGTACAATTCCCAATGAGAAATGTAATTGTGTTGTATACCTACAATGTACCAATAAAAGAATTTAATAAAACAAAAAAAAAGAAAATCATTTCTTTTAAAACCTAAGGGAAAATCATTTCCAGTCTCACATGGAAATAAAACAAGAAAGAAAAACACAAGAGATACAGGAACAAAATTTGACACTGGAGAGAAGCAAATGGAAGCCCAAGGTGAAGTAAGGTGAAGTCCAGAGCTGATCGCTCTACAGCAGACCTAAGGAGACTGGACTGGAAAGTGTCAGGTAGCAGCATCTCCCTGCAAAAAAGCAACGGACTGGCAGATGACTGGATCTGCTCACCTGATGTATAAACTCAAAAATGAATTCCACTAGAGAGATTGTAAGACAGAATGAATGACAGGGGCTCTGAGCGCTAGGAACTCTCTTATTCCTGTTTCACTGTTGCTCACATAGTTTTCTTCTCTCCAACTTCCTTATAACTTTTAGATACAATATATTCATTTTGAACATGTTTGTTAGAGCTGAGTCTTATTTTATACTTGGTATTTTATACTTTTTACACATGTATTTTCTATTCATTTTTCTTAGTTAATGATTCATTTTTTCATTTGATTAAGTTAGATTCAGATTACTTTGATAAAAATCTTTAATTTTAAAAGCAATTATTACATTGTATACAAATATGTAGTTATTTTCTTTTTTTAAATAGATGATACACATCCACCCATATTTATAACATCATTTCCATTTTTTTCAAAATCATTATTAAATTCACTATCATACATTAGTATTCACAACAATTTGTAGTTACGTTGTAACGTTTCATTGTGAGAATATATGATAATTTACCCACATTCCTTTGTGGGACACAGGATTTTTTCAAAGAGTTTTAAAATCTAATTAATGCTCACTAAACTTCTTCATAAAGATATATATCCTTTTGTCATATCTGTAAAAAAATTTTTCAGTTTTATGTAGCACAGCTTTCTTTTTCCTTTCCTTGCACTTGTACATAAAAAGTCCTTCTACAGCTCAAGCACAATTAAATGTTAATATATGTTCTCTCCCTCTCTTCTTTCCCCTCTATCTCTCCTTCTCTCCCTCCTTGGGTGGTACTATGGTTTTATCAGTAGTAATTATTTTAAGTAACCTAAAAGTATCTCTTAGCAATAGTTCTGCAAAAGCAATGGGGAAGCCTCAGGAATATAAAGATGGCTTAAAAGTCAAATAACTTTTGATGTATCTTTTAACTATAAATATTTCAACATACAGTATAAGCATTCTTCCTTAAATGTCTATACTATATGGGTCATATGAGAGACAATGCAACACTTCCAGGTGTGTGTGGTCACACAGTTTAGTTTTTGAAGTTTTTACTCACTTGTAGTCATGATGTTAGGAGGGCAAGAGGGAATTCCATGATCTAGTGCCCATCTGTAGGCTCCTTCTCCAACTAAAAAACTAACAACAGAAAAATTATTCTTTTAAAAATGCATGTCATCTTCTACATATTCTACAATGTAATAAAGTAATATTGTATGGCAATTGAAAAAAGTCCTGTATACAGACATAATTCTAGAGTTAGCTCAAAATAATAAGATAGCTACATGCTCAAAATTTCTTTTAAATTTTTACTCATTTGGAATAACAAATAAAAATAGGGAAAAATCAACGCAGTAAAAAACAGTTGACTTCCCAGTGGAAAATATGAAGATTTATCTTGGATCAACATGGTTCTGAGTTTGTTTGAAAAGATCCATTTCAAGAAGTTAGGAATCTAAGATTCAGTGAATGTGTTCTGATTTGGTGTTCTTGTCTAGTAGAGAGGCCCAAATACAATGAGATGTCTTAAATTTCTAAGTCTCAATGAAACAAAAATACATATATAACCTTCAGAATCATTTTTATTATGATGAGTAAAGTACTGTGATATGTACTAAAAGTAATTGTTAAGCCCTAAACTGAAAGTTTTAACATAACAAAGTGAATAATACAATGAAAGACTCATTTTCAAAGATTTCAAATAGCATTCAGGATAACTACCCCACCCCCTAAGTAATTTGACTAAATAGACAGTAATAGAAAGTAGTGACTATAACAAGCACTTCATCTTCTTCTGTGGCCAACTTCTTAAAGATCTCAGCCAGCTATTAATAGATTCCTTGAACTTATGCCTGTTAATTTCTCATTCTGTACTTTTTGTTTCTGTCTGCTTGTTAGTTTCTTACTCTGTATTTTTTGTTTCTGTTTTACTAATCATTCCAACACTAAAAACTCAAGAGTAATACATACTTAAGATTTGATTGTTAGTAAAACAAGTAACAGACTGGCAAAACAAAATCTAATCAGACGCTCAGAAACATATCCAAATGGTTCCAACAAGAAATTAAATGGTTAATCACAGTAACTTTTCTTTTTCTCCTTTTTCTTTTTTGACAGTACAAAGGATCAAACCCAAGGGTACTCTACCACTGAACTACTTTCAAGTCCTTTATGTAAAAATTTTTTAAACAGGGTCTTCTCAGTAAAACTGGCCCAGCCTGCCCTCTAACTTGGAATCCTTCTGCCTCAGCCTCCTGAGTAGCTGGGATTGACAGGCATGTACCATTGCACATGGCCTAATAAAAGTGAAGCATTGAAAACAGAGGAGATAGGGCCAATAAGAATAATCAATTTTACCTCTTTAAATCTCTATTTTTAAAAATTCTAAAGGATTCTGAGAATAGAAAGCAGTTTTCCCAAATGAAGATCACTGCAAAGAAAAGCTCTCTTATAAAGTTCAAATGTTAGAATAATAAGAGGACCACAGATGTAGATTTGAGCTTTCCTGGCAGCATTGTTAGCACTTTCTTCTTCTAGAAAAAGAACTCGATAAAACAACATCTTAATGTGAAGATGTAAAAGAGAAGCTGAAATAGTAATCTAAATGATCAAGACAGAAGATCTGAGCTGGCTCTAGCACTCTTAGCACTCCACTGGTCACTTTTGGGTTCAGTCCCAGCATCCGGAATAAGTGGCATTTTACAACATGGCACTAGCTTCATTTTTCAGTCCTTCATCACTCATACATTTTATTATAAACACAATCAATTTTCTGCAATCTATTATGCAAGTTTCCATATATTTTGGGCATTTGAAAATATTTATAGGAAGGTAAATACTTGGATGTCATTTTATGGAAAAGCATTCAAAATATGTGACCTTTCCTTACTATCAAAAAATTATTGGTAGTAGCTCATCAACACACAAAATATCATATAACTGCTTTTAATATTATTTTAGTATAAACTTTTGCTAAAAATTATATTAATAGGTAGGGGGAAAATCACTTTCCACAACATTAAATGCAGTGCCAATTTACATTTCTCTCAAGGTTTTTTCTGACCCTCTAAAGAGAAACCTTTTAAAGACAGTTCATCAAAATCCATTAGAAAATTGCATGGACTTTACAATATACCTGGAATCTGCCCACTTCTCACCATCCCCACTCCCTACCACTGTCGTCTGAACCACAATCAGAAGACACCTGCATTGCAGCAAGGGCCTCTCTACTTCTAGGCTGGCCTTGTCCCCCAACCAACCCCATTCCGGTCAATTCTCAACACACAATCCATTGAAATCTTTTGCAAAACACAAATCAAATAATGTCATTTTCTTCTCAAAACCCCACAAAACTTCATGTGAGGACTAATATAAATATTGGTATCTTTGAAAGAAATCTATAAGCTCCCAAGTGAACAGATTCTCCCTCTCTCCCTGTCTCATCTCTTATGCCTCTTGACTCCCTGCAAATTCTATTCTAATCTTCTGTAAAACCACAAATAATCCAAGGAGGCAGGTGCCTCACAGACTTCACCCTAACAGTTCCCTCTGTCTGGCTCTTCTCCTGCTTCCCAAATGGGAAATTCCCTCATCTGCTCAAATATTCTTCCTTGATGAGACCTTTGAAAAATGCATCCTACTTTGAAATGATCAGTACACACTGTATACACGTGTTGGAATATCACACTTCACCTTACTACATTATAATTATTGCATGTTAATCATGAATGAAAAATGAAAATAAAAAATAAAAATACATCCCAACACACTGCACTTTTTCCTACTCATAAATTCCAATCCCCTCATCCTCCTCTTTTTATATTTTTTCCACTTTCTAATACATTATTATAATTTGTAATTTATGTATCATTTTTACTGATTTATTTGTGTCACCCTCTTACATACTGTTAGCTTCATAAGGGTAGCAAATCTTTTGTTTTTTTAATCAATGACTCTCAAACTAGAACAATGCCCGAAGCATAACAATGCCTGAAGCATAATGAAAATAAACACTAGCAAGATGCTAACAAAATCAACTTTCTTATCTTAAAGACTAGCATTTTCCTTGTGTTACACCCATTTTAATTTACACTAAAGTAGGTCTAGAGTATCATAAATCAAAGCAACAATACTCTGCTGAGACTAGCACTGAGATGCAGTGACTGACACTCTCAATAACCTGAGCTACATGTGTTCACAGAGAAAAAAATGTGGAATGGACCACCTGGCCAAAAATGGTGGCCTGAATTACAATGTGATGATTCAGAAACCTCTAAAGGATCCTCAGCGATCAAAGATCAAAATACATTATTCTGAGTTGGACTAGGTGGTGCATGCCTGTAATGCCAGCACTCAAGAGGCAGAGGCAGGAGGATCACCATGGGTTTGAGGCCAACCTAGGCTGCATAGTGAGTGAATTACAGAGTAAGACTCTTCTCAGGAAACCAAAAAAATGCCCGGGGATTTAGCTCAGTGGTTCTGCTCCCTGCCTTGTAAGCACAAGGTCCTGAGTTCGATCCCCAGTACCAAACAAAAACGAAAAAACAAAAATAATTAGTTAATTAATTCTGAATAAGATACAGAAGAAAAAATATCTATTTCTTTGAACTTCAACACATTTCTATTTTACCTATCACTTACCATAAATATATAAATATATAAAATTAAAGAAGACAACTTAGGCTCTTGAAAGCTTATTAACATATAAAATACAAATAAAGTAGAACTTCCTATATTCAGAAATAATATACAGTCAAATTAAATAAGAATACAACTCTTAAATTTTTTATCACAGAGATTTTCAAAAGTATACAACTGCTATGTGTGAATGTCTGTGTCCCTCCACCAAAAATTCCTAGTTTAATGGATCCTAACACCACGGCACTAGAGAGGTGTTTGGGTCAAGAAGGCAGAGCCCTCACATGAATATGTTAGAGGGCCCTGGGTGGCTCCTCAACTCATGTGAGTGCTCAGCAGGACGGCACCATACAGGAGGACACAGCCCTCAACAAACACCAAACCTGCTGCCTCTGGAACTTCTTGGCCTTCAGAACTGGAAGAAATAAAATGCTGTTGTTTATAAACTACCCAACCTATGGTATTTCGTTTTAGAGTCCAATTGTACTGTAGCAATAATCGTACATAGAATAAGATACTAAACCCAACAGATCATCACTCTGCTTTAACAACTACTAGTACTACCAGTACATTGCTAATCTCACTCATGTATACCCCTTCTGAGATTATTTTGAAGCAAATATGAGATATAATTTCAACTATAAATATCCTAGGATGAATCTCCAAAAATGATTCTTTAAAAAATGTAACAATAATTAACACATCAAAAAATTAGATCAACAAATCCTTAGCATAAAAAATATCCAAAGTTCACATTTCCCTGATTGCCTTATAAAAGATCACTATTATTATTTGAATTTTTTTTTTTTAAATTTTACTAATTGGTTGAAGTTTAATCCAACTATTTTCTGATTAAGCCATATTTTCTGATTAATTCATAAGTTACTTATATTGTTTTAACCCTTAGGTTTTTAACTTTTATTTTCATATCATCAGTAAATGTAGAATAAATCTGAATGAATTTATTAAATAAAATAAACAAAATAGTGATTAAAAATACACAAAAGCTTAAATTCATTTCTCAAAAACTTGAATGTCCAATGAGTACCTAAGATTTTATTCAAACTAGACATAAAACAATGCCGTCCAAGTTATTCTTTTTTTAATAAGAGAAATATAATTTCCAAAATTTGTAAGAAAATTTGTCCATACAAGGCCATTTCGGCTATAGGGGCTACAATATTTCTGTTGCAAGAACTCAATACTGCTTTTATAGTATACAATCAGCTCAAACTACATATACACAAATGAGCATGGGTTTTGTTCCAATGAAAACTTTATTTACAAAAACAGGCAGTAGAGTCAATTTGGCCCACAGGCCTAAGTCTTCCAACCCCTGTTCTATATGAAAATAACCAACAAAATTTTATCCTAGTATAATGAAGGAAAAGATGCAAGATTAGTTAAAGAAATGAAAAAATATGATGCAGTTTATGATGATGATAATGCCACCAATTTTAAGAAGATATCAAATAGTGCACTAGTCTGACCAAACATCAATACTTAAAGAGTGCCAAGAGAAAATGGTGCCAAGAGAAGCACTGGTAAAATGAACTATGCAGCCTCCAGTTCTGAGAGTTTTTCCAACAAAGCAGCAAGACTTTATAAATTCTAAACAATTTTAGACACAATTCAAATGAATATACCTTCTGCTTTCCCAATGAACTAAACAGATAAATGAACTTTATATGAGTGCTTCTTAGAAAAGCACCCATTATGTGTAATGACTTGCTGTCCTCAGAGAATGGTCTACTTATTCAACAGGTGACACTTGGTTTTTAAATTCTTCAGTTTCCTTTTATAGTTTCTCTGCCTCCATGAACGCTACTCAGCAAGTGAAAAATATGTATTTTGTTAAATTAATGAATGGATAAGTGAGTGAATGGATGTATAAAAAAATTACTCTTAATGTGATATGGATGAACTCCACAAATTTCTAACAACATAATTGTAGGTAAGCCTGGGACTTATGTTCTTTATCTACAAAATGTGTATTACCCTCATAAATTATATAATTTTTATGAGCTAATGCAGACAAACCATAAAAAACAGTATTTGCCATAATGTACAAGTGCAATAAACATTAGCTAACAGCATTATAAAAGTTAGATAACTAAGCTTGATAAATCATGTATAAATAAGTTCAAAGTAAAAACTAAATTTTGTTATACTCATTTAGTATACTCAGAATTTGGTTTGTTGTTTTTAAGATACTATTATTATATAGCTAATTTCCAGGTATGTGAGAGATTTCTATTTCTGGAAAAGATAGACAACAATAAATTTACCATCTTGTCTGGAGAAATGCAAAAACCACAGATAAAATATAAAAAACAAGAGCTTTCAAACATTAGACATTAGACATTAGGTAACAGAGAATAGCCATCCTTGAGAAAAAAGAAACAACATAAACCTTGCCTTACTGCAATCACAGGGTTCACTTTCAATATAGCAAGGAGAGTCCTCAGCCCACAGGACAGTAGTTCAGCAGTCCCTCAGTTGAAGAGAGATTTCAGGAACCAGAGAGGCCAAAGAGGCCAGAGTTCACAGAATAGAGTACCAGAGAAAAGAGAGCTGCATAGATGATTCAAGAGAACTGCAGAGATTCCCCTTCCAGTCTTAGACTGAAAGGAGATCAAGGCATATGGAAGAGGAGATTACTCAAAGCCTTGGAACAAACAACTTGACAGTTCTAAAGGAAGTTCCCCAAGTTCAGATGGGGCTAGGGACAGCTCTGGTACCCAGCAGCCAGAGTGAAATGCATTATTCTATTTGCATCTGAGATAGTACTCCACAGAGTTTCGCCTCAATAGCAAAGCAATATTAGCTCAAGGATAAATGCTTTTCTAGTCTCATCTGAAAGGCTCAAACTGTTTTTAAATAACTTAGCCACATCCTAGATGAAGTTCAAGATTATTAAAATAAATGAATATATATACAGCTTTCAAAAAAGATAAAACGCACAATGTCTGAAATCCAATAAAAAACTACTAAGCATATAAAAACCAGGAAATGTTACCTAAAATGAGGAGAAAATCACTCAAATGAAAATAACCCAGAAATAAATTTGAAACAGTTAGTATAAAAAAATATTGAAAATAATTGTTATAACACTATTCATACATTTAAGAAGCTAGGGAGAAAATTAAAGATATAATGTAGAAACAAGAAAGACATCTTTAAAATATGCAAATCAACCTTTTGGAGATAAAACTACAATGTCAGAAAAGAAAAATAAATTGGCTGTTACTTGCAAGTGATTAGATATTGCACAAAACTAATCAATGAACTTGAAAACATAGTAATGGAAACTTCAAAATCATTCAAAGAATGAAAGAGTAAACAAATCATCCAGCATGATTATAGAGCTACAAAAAGAGGTCAAATACAAATGCTCCTCAACTTACAGTGGGGTTACTTATATCCTGATAAGCCCATCAAAACAGAAAATATCATGTTAAAAATACATCTGCTATACCTCATCTCCAAAATATTACAGCTTAGCAATGTAATACTATACAGAGTATCTGCTGTTTACCCTTATGGCTGACAGGTAGTTACTGCCATTGACCAACGTTGCCAGAAAGTATGGCTCAATCTATCGTTAGCCTAGGAAAAGATCAAAATTTAAAATTCAAAGAATAGTGTCTACAGAATTCCCTCTTTCCTCCTCCTCTGTGGTAAGCACAGTAAGTTTGGTAACCTTCTTTTCAAACCTTTTTTGTGCAACTATGTACATACTTATGTAGTTTTAGAAAACTACAGGTATAACAGTATGAATAAATGTGAGAGAGTAAGAAAACCTTAAATCCAGGACAACTGTTACTAGGAATTGAGTGAGGTTACATGAGGAGCTTTCCTCTGCCAGACCTTTCCACCATACATTTCTGCCTTGGAGCCAGCTGCCTATAAACTGAAACCTCTAAAAACTATCAGCCAAAATAAATTCCTCCTTTGTCTTGTAGATATCGGGTATTTTGTCCCACCAACCAGAAAGTGAGTAAAACAGGCCTTCACAATGGGATTATGATGCTCATTTAAAGAGGGAGTTTCTCTTTCTGTCTCTCCCTCTCCCTCTCCCTCCCCTTTGCCCCTTTTCCCTCCCCTTTCTCCCTTTCTCTCCCCCTCCCCCTCCCTCTTCCCTTCTCTTGATGTTAGCTGTCCCAACCTCTAGATCTCTGAGAAACAAATTTCTGCAATTTGAGCTAACCAAATTTATGGTATTTTGTTATAGCAAACCAAGAAAATTAATACTAATAGTATTCCATGTAATTACATATAAAATATATTCCATGTTTTATATATAAAAATAATTCTCTTTTTTGTTTAATGCCACCAGACATCTAATAACATGAACAGAAAGCAATTTGTTTAGCCATTGATGGGCATTTAGGTTGTTTACAGTTTTATATTTCACAAGCAACATTTTATACTATACATTTTTGCTTTTAGGTTTGGGCTATATTTTTTTAGAGTGATATAACACAGAAATTTAACTTAATGTTTTTCCACAAAGTAGCTGATTGTCCCAACATAATTTACTTAATAAACGATCATTTTCCCCACAATCATTTGAGATGACACCATTATTAAAAAAAGAAATCGCTTATAGATTGCATGCTTCTGCACTTGCAATTCTATCCTACTGATCTTTTATCCTTTTTTTGGTGAGATTCATGAGATGGACAAAACATTGTTAATTATTAGTGCTAGATAACAGGTTAATCAGGGCTATTTATAACATTCAATGTACTTTTACTCTAAGAACTTCCCAAAGCTGATTACTTTAGACTGTTCTACAATGTGTAAGATACTTTCAAAGTTTTGTGATAAAATGACCTCAATCACGTACTTAATAGCAAAAACCTTTCAATAACCTACTGCAAAACCAGATATTAACTCTTCTCTGTTTTAATCTATCATATTCTATTCCACCTGGAGCTTTATTAAGTATGCAAAATATTCCAAGATCACAGAACAAAGTATGTCTTACTCTCAAAGGCATGCTTTGCTGGTGTGTAACCAACAGCATCAGCCTTCCATGGATAAAAATAGCCTTTAAACACTGCATGCACCGAAGACCAAAGAACCAGGGAAAGTCAGGAAGAACAAAGTGGTTACCAGGGAGGAATTCTGCCGGCTGAGAGTTTGCCCTTCTGTCCTTCACACAAGAGTCTGTTTGCAACTGAGACCGGGTTTTTGATTCCTGTATAATAAAATTGGCAGAAAAAGAAATAAAGAATATCTTTAAGTTTCCCACTCAGTTGTATGGTTGTTATAATAAAACAAATTTAAATATCTTAGAAATCTTCTCTTTCAAGATATTAAATATGCTAATAAAAAATTATCACAATTAGTCAAATTAAAAAATGAGTATATTTTTGAATAAGGACAAATATAAAACATATTCTCATATTTTATCACATGTTACAACAGCAAAGATTTAACCTGAAATATTACACATTTAAATTAGGTTCCCTTTTAAAAGATTTTATAATAGAGAAGAAAATACGCCACTCTCCCACTATCAAATCTAACAATTTTCCAGGCATTTACTGACCATATAATCATTAAAAAATAAATATAATTATAAATAGCCCCTATTTTATCATAAGGAGAAAAATTAATGGGGAAAGGTAAGCCAAAACCTTAAAATCTCACTTAGAAACAAAATACAAAGTCCTTCAAGTTGGAAAAAAGTGGGAGAAAGAGGCCAAATATGTTTAACCCTGATCATTTCCAGAGGGCAAAACATGATGTACGAGTGAGATGGCAGCGCTCATCTTGGAGAAACACTAACTCCTAGGAGAGTATTTGTGTGACAAACATGGTCAGAATGACAATGATAAATAGGATGATGACAATGACACATAGGATGATGATGAAGATAATAGAAAGCAAAAGTAACCTAGTAACTAATAAGTGCCCAGATCCAAACTCTTCAACCTATCAAGTGATACATTTCTATCATATACCTATGGTTAGGAAGCCTGTGTCATTAACAAGGAAACATTTGCATAGAGGATTAAGCTGCCTATCCAAACTCACAGAGCTGAGATTTTAACACAGGTAGCTAATACCAGAAACCATGCCCTTAACTTAGCAAGGCTCTGTCTCAAAATTTAAAAAAAAAAAAAAATTAAAAGGGAGTGGGGAGATGACTGGGAACACAGTCAGTGTGAAGGCCCTAGGTTCAATCCCCAGTACCACCACCACAAAAAAAGAAAAAAGTAAACAAAAAGACACCATTTCAAAGCTACTCAAATTAAGACAGTGTGGTTTGGGTCGAAGAGTAGACAGATATATCAATGGAACATAATAAAGCTAAAATGTTAGTTGGGATATTAAAATATAATACAGGCAATATTTCAAATGAGTGGGAACAGAACAGACTGTACATGAGAGGTAAAAAGAACACACTGAAGACCATAGGAGTCAGGCTACTTTGTAACTGTAACACCTATCAGATTATTCCCTCTCAAATGCAAATTCACCCTTTGTTGCCTGATCTGTGAAAATGGATATGGGCCCTTTATATATGATTCTCTTGCCAGCTGGTACATGGTAAGCTTTGTCAGTAGAGGGCACTGGAGACACTGCAGTAGGAAAGGTGCCCTGCTGGCCAAGTGTCCACAGAGTATGATTTTGTCTTCACTATTTGGCGCATGAAGTACGCTCCAGCACTAAGTGCTCACAGGATACAGCTTTCTCTGGCATTTAGTCATTATATGCTTGGAACAGCTTCTGATTCAGGCCACAGCAATATGGCTGAGAGCCCCAGAAAGAAGACTGAAATCTACACCTTGTAGATTCCCAGGCCCCATTCCCACACTCTATTCTCAGCCCTACAGGCACACACAGCAAGTGTTCCAAGGAGACAGCTGTCTACTGAGCCAAAACTCACTCTTTACCGTATGCAAAACAGGTTTAATTCCCACAGCCTCTTGACCTCATCTGCCAGCCGAAGCTCACCTGTGCCCCTCAACATTAGTCCCACCACAATAACTGTGCACCAGCTCCAACTGAGGCAATCCAGCAACTCCTCTGCCAAACTATGAGCTACAACTACACCTTTTTCAGTAAGTTCTGATGGTAGTTCCAGTATTTCCAACTCTATCCTTCCTTGGATATTGTCAAGTGCCCTAGAATATGCTTTGCAATTTCCTTCTATCTGTCATTAGTCTCCTATTTCAGCTTAATAAATCGTTGTTAAACTTCTGCTTAAACTACTGTATGGTTTCTGTCTCCTAGTTCGACTCAGAAGAAAATGTAGGTGACTGTGCTTATAAATTGTGAAAGAAACTTTAAAAATGGAAAATATCAAAAGCCACAAAAGGGTGCTTGACAAATAAAAATTTGCCAAAGAATATTACAAACAGAGACAAAAGACAAGTCATGTAAGAGGTATGAACAGTCAATTTAGAAACAAAAATGTTAATGGCCTTTAACATATTAAATGGTACAAATATCAATAAAATTTCATAATGAAAGATAGTGAAATTAAAACTGACATAGCATTTTTACATATCATAAAAGTCAGAAATTACACAAAAGATCGGGACAAATAACAAAACCACCCTAAATGACAGATACAGTACACTACATTCAACACATACAGCATATATATTGTTTTGAAGTTCACAGGGAATATGTATCAAAATATACCATAAGCTGGGACATAAAGTAAGACTCAAAAGATTCAAGGCATTTGAATCAATACCTCTCTGACCACAGTAAAATTAAACTAGAATTCAATAAAGAAAGCTACTGAAAATGTCTTTTGGCAAATAAATGATAACCCATAAGAAATAGCCATATTCCTTAAAAAGTATATATGAGAAAAAATATATACATAATCTTAAATGGCAAAATGTTTAATCCCATATTTTAAAACTTTCTACAGAGAAAAGGCCACTAATTCAGAATAAAAAAATTCTTCCAAACAATTAAAAAGAAATATTATTCTAATCACACACGATCCCTTTTAAAGAATATAAAAAAAAAAGGCTCAACTCATTTTACAAGACCATTCATAACAGAATACAAAAATAAACCATTACACATATATTAACTTGATTTGTTAATGCAATTCTAAGAGGAAAGGACTGTGCTGGAAGTATAGAAAGGCTCTACATCTTAACATGAAAATACTTAATTTCTTGATCTAGGTGTACATATTTATATGGTTATATATGGCTGTATACATTCAAAAATTCATAAATCTGCATATGTAAAATCTGTGTACTTCATATATATTTAAATGAATTATAAAACATTAGATATATCTTTTATATACTGGTGTGGGAACAAAAATCTTGACGATATCCTATTCAAAGGAAAAAACTTTCAAAGTAACATACACATTTATTCTTTTAAAAACAACCACATTCACAAAATAAAACTACGTCTCAATGTACTATACAAATATACAGTAAAAGAACTGGACTTTTACTGGTTAAACACCATTGGGAGGAAGGGATGAAAAGGAACGATTTGGAGGCTCAAAGGTAAATATTTTTATATCATTAGAAATTTTCATGGTAAAAACTTTTGTGTATTTTAGACTATAAAATCAATAGAATATTCTAAATCAAAATTTAAACATCTAAAATTTCTTGAAAGGACAGAAGAAAATGATCTAATTCTAATCAAAACTTGGACATAGTGTCTTTTTTGTTGTTGTTTACAGCTAAAATTTACAAGACAACCATGCATAGTGGCACACGTTTGTTCTTTCACACTGAGAGATTGAGGCAGAAGGAGCACAAGTTCAAGACCAGCCTGGGCAACTTACCAACTTAACAAGACCCCATGTCAAAACAAAAATTTTTAAAAGGATACAGGTATGCTGAGAACATAGCTCAGTTGAAGGCCCTGGCTTCAATACCACACACAAAAAAAGGAAAATAAAATTGTTTCAACACTATCCCAAGCAAGAACTATCTTTATAAGTGTTAAATGGTAATATGCATAATTTTTCAAAGAACAGAAATAGGATATCATAATGCTTACACGTACCACTGAGTGCTCCAACTGCTCCAAAATTTAAGGATTTTCCATCCATTATGCTGGCATCACACTCAATTTCCCCTAAGAGATTTAGGTTAGATCCCATTCCTGCATTTGTAAAAGGAGAATCCTAAAAGACAAAAATGAAAATTGAAGTACTATTAGCTTTTTTAAAGAATTAATACCAATCCTTCATAAATTCTTCCAAAAACTAAGTGAGAAGACACTTCCACACTTATTGTATGATACCAGTACTACCTTGGCCCCCTAAAAAGACAAGCCTATCATGAGAAGAAAAAATAAAAAGCTACAGATCAATACACCTTGCAAATATCAAGACAAAAATCTTCAGAGAAAAACCAGCACACCAAATCCATCACAATATGAAAAGGATTCTATATCATGAAGAGGGTTCCAAGAAAAGCAGGGTTGGTTTAGTACCTGAAAAGTCAAACAATGTAATACCCTACATTAATAAAAGAAAAAGGCATAATGATGTCATTAGACACAGAATGAAACCATTTAACAATACTCAACATCATTTATGGGACAAACACTCCCTCAACTAGAAATAGAACGTAGCTTTTTTTAGCCAGGCACAGTGGCATACACCTGTTACCCTAGCTACTTGGGAGGTTGAAGCAGGAGGATCACCAGTCTAAGATCAGTCTGGGGGATGTTACAAACACCATAAAACCACTAGGGCAAAAAGAAAAGGGGAGGGGGCGGGATAGGAGGAGAGAGGAGAGGAAGGAAAAGATTTCATCAAAACTAAAAGCTTGTCAGCTGCAGTGATGAACACAAATAATCTCAGAATTTGGAAGACTGAGGCAGAAGGATCACCATGAGTTCAAGGCCAGCCTGAACTACAAAGTGAGATCCTGTCTCAAAAAAAATTAAGAACTTTTGTGTTTAAAGGGACATCATAAAAAAAATAGAAAAAAAACCCACAGAATGGGAAAAACTTTTTGCAAAACATATGTAAAGCAACATTTTTCCAGAATATATTAAAAAATTCTACTCTAAAATAAAGACACAATTTAAAAGTGGGCAAAGGATATAAATTAGGATTTCTCCAAAGAAGATATGTAAATAACCAATAAGCACATGAAAAGATCCTCATTGTCATTTGTCATCAGGAAAAGGCAAATCCAAACCACAATGAAATACTACTTTACACCCACAAGGATGGCTATAATTAGATAATAACATATGTTGGCAAGGATATGGGGAAATCAGAACCCTTATACTTTGCAGAGGGGAATGTAAACTGATGCAACTAGCTTGGAAAACATCTGGCGGATCCTCAAAAAGTTAAACATTTAAGAGTTACCATTTGACCCTGCAATTCCATTTGTAATTACATGTATACCAAATCCTGCTACTCAGGACTGTATTATACTTGATCTCCAGCCAGAGAATATGGAGAAAAGCTAATAATATAAAAAGTCTCACTATAAAAATAACTATCAAGGAGACACGGTTCCAAGATTTGACCTTTAAAAATGAAACAGCTAGGTGTGGTGTCACATACCAGTAATCCCAGCACTCAGTAGGATGGAGGGGGAGGTTGCACAAGTTCAAAGCCACCCTGGGATACATAGTGAGTTTAAGTTCAGCCTGAACTACAAAGTGAGACCCTGTCTAAAAAAACAAACAAATAAATAGGGAGTTAGTGTAGACTGAACACTTCTTAGGGCAACTGTGCAGATGTAAAGCCCACCTCAAAATAACAACACCCAGGTGTGGTGCTACATGTCTATAATCTTAGCACTTGGGAAGATGAGGCAGGATTGCCACACATTCGAGGCCAGCCTAGGATACAGGAGTTCAAGGCCGGCCTGACCTACATAGCAAGACCTTGTACCAAAAAATAAACAAAACCACAAGCAAACAAACAAATAATATGTTTAATATTAACAACACTACCTCACATTGCAAAAAGCTAAACCAATCCTGAAATTGAAATTTGGATCCATTTTAAGGTGGACCAATATTACCTAGGAAATCAAGACAATTTTGTATCAATTTAAAGATTGTCAAATACTCAAAATCATCTACAAATTTTTTCCAGTTTCCCAGATTTCTACCAGATTCAAGAAAAACTAGCCATAACATCAAGGCATTTCTAAACATGTAACTAAAATGTGAGCAAAGGAATCAGATTTGAGGTCAAGATTAAAAATAAAATCACAGAGTAGAAAGTAACAAAAACAATGTATAATTAAATAGAAAATGAATGACACAGAAAATAAGTACTGTGAGCATTCAAAAGAAAACAGTCTAATATGAAATGAAGAAGATAGTGACAGGCTTCATGGAAGATGTACAATGAAAGCTCCAGGAAGAATCCTGTTAAGACTGGCTCAGCTAGAATCTCCTCTTACCCCAATGTTTCTTCTTCCTAACTTTCCATCCACTGACTCCCACCCTAATCCTTGACTATAAATTCTCACTTGCCTACACTGTATTCAAAGCTGAGGCCAGACTCCATTCCTTACTATAAAATACAGCAATAGTCGCTATACCTACTTATCTTTCTCTAGTATCATGAGTAATCTTTTTTTTTAAAGTTAATCATTAGGGAATTTCAAATTTAAATCACCAGATAATGCTGTATAACTATTAAAATGGCTAAAATTAAAGAGAATGACAATTCTGAGCACTGGCAAGTATGTGGAGCAAATTCAACCCCCCCACATGCTGCTGGTGAGAACGCAAATAGAAAATTATTTAGCAGTTTTTATTAGTTGAGTATGCCCTTACCGCAGACCCAGCAATTCTACTCCTAAGTATTAACCCAAGAGAAATTAAAGCATACATCTACCTAAAGACTTGTATTCAAGGTAGGTGTGGTGGCATATGCTTGTAATCCCACCATGAGGGAAACTGAGGCAGGAGGATCACAAATTCTAGTTCCACCTACACAATTTAATAAGACCTTGTCTCAAAAAATAAAAAGGGCTAGGGTTGTATCTCAGTAATAGAGTGCCCCTGGGTTCAAACCCCAGTACCATTTTAAAAAATGATTTACTGGGCCAGGGATTTAGCTCAGTGGTTTTGTCGCCTGCTGCACAAGTGCAAGGACCCGAGTTCAATCCCGGGTACCAAAAAAAAAAAAAGATTTACTGTGTATTTAAAAGTTTGTATCAGGTTTATTCACAACAGCCAAAAACTGAAATCAATCCAAATGCCCGTGAATCAGTAAATGCATAAAAAAATTATGGTATATTCATATAATAGGACACTACTCAGCAATAAATACAGCAAACTCATACCCAACAATATAGGTAAATCTCAAAAGCATTATTCTAAGTAAAAAAACCCAGTTGCAAAAAGACCACAAATTATATGATTCTATTTCTAGCAAAATCTAGAAAAAGCAGAACTACAGTGACAAGAAGCAGGAACAGTGCTCATAACTGCAGGTACACAGGAGACAGGAGGATTGTGAGTTCCAGCCCAGCCTGAGAAACTATTGAGATTGTCTTAAAATAAAAAGGGCTGGGATGGAAATCAGTGATAAAGCATTTGCCGAGTATGTGCAAGGCCCTGGGATCAATCCCTTGTTCCAGGGAGGGGAAAAGGCAGATAGTGTTTGTCAAGGGCAACTGAAAGAAAAGGATTCAATGCAGATAAGTGTAAGAAAATCTCTGGGTGATAGAAATCTTAACTATCATGATTGCATTAGTGGTTACATAATTGTACACATTTGTCAAAATTAATTAAATTTTACACTTAAAATTGGTGAATTTTGTTGAGAAAATTACACTTCAGTGTAGCTGACAAAAAAGTACTATTATTACTTGGCATAAACTATTATTACTTGGCATTTCACCGTATGAAGTAACTGTCCTCTTATAAATAATATATATGAGTTTTTTAATGGTCACTTGTTGATTCTGTCATGTGTATCTTATAGGATTAACAATCATTATGTTTAGGAAGTCATCAATCATCCTTTTAAAATCTGTCAGAATCTATTCCTCCCCTGCTCAAAAAACCTACAGTAGTTTCCAGTCAGACTTAGAACAAAATCCAAAACCCTAATTTCCCATGACCTCTTTTTTTTTCTCCCGGAACCAGAGATCGAACTCAGGACCTGGCACTATCCAGGCAGGCGCTGGTGCCACTGAGCTAAACCTCCGGCCCCAAAACCCTAATTTCCAAGATTTACAAGGACATTCCTAGTTGAACCCCTTCCCCCAATTTGCTCCTTCCTGTTTTTTCTCACCCTTTCTGCATAGAACTGCAATTCCTTGGGCACAGCAAAAGCCCCAACCTCAGGGCCTTTGCATTTGTGTTTTGCTCATTCTTTGGAAACGTCTAGCATAGCAAGCACTTCTTTGAGAGGGGAGAGAGCCAACAAAGACTGCGTAAACATGCATGTACACATATGTATAAATAACTGATGTCCCATGTCCCATGGTGACAAGTTATTGTAGAGAAAACCCAAATGAAATAAGAAGGCACCGTGAGATACTATTCTAACCAAACAATCCCCTCCCCATATCTGTACAAGGTTTTCTCCTCCATTCCATTCACATCACTCTCTGACAACATTTTAAAAACCAAGGCCCTCCTCTTACCAAGAGTAGCATTTTCCTAGCATTCCCAATCATTCTCCTTTCTCTTATTATTTTACTTTTCTTTATGACACGCTATACTACCTGATACTATATACACCATTTTTGGTTGTTTAATTCTCCTCATAGGATCTAAGTCCCATATATATTAAGGTTTCTTTTTAGGTGTAGTATCCCAATGTCTAAAGCAATGGCTGGCACATGGGAGTGCTCAATAAATATTTCATGAATGAATGAATAGCAGTGAATTATGACTAGACATAAAAAGAATGATTGACTACTGTGAACTATAACCCCTTAAGCCACCTGATACTTACCTAATTTTTACAGGATACTCTATAGAGAAATGCCAGGAAAATACAATGGAGTGTTAAGAATCCAGTCTTTTCTTGAGTAAAACGTGAGAAACCAGAAAAAAACACTCAAACAAAAATGTTTTCAATTTCTAAAGATGGAACTTTTAAATCTAAATATATTTTTAGGCTTACTCAAAACTTTTAAGAGATAGGTTCTTTTGACTAATTAACCCAGCAAAGCGGGGAGG